TAACACGTAGTTTACCATACAATTATAGGAGGTTATAAGAAACTTGTTATACGCACTTTGCCACACAATTGTAGGGTGTTACATGAACCATGTTACAGTACTTCACTAACAACTATAGGGTGTTACAAGAAACTTGTTACACGTACTTTACCATATAATTATAGGATGTTACAAGAAACTAGTTACACGTACTTTACCAAAAATTATAGGATGTTACAAGATACTTGTTACACGTAATTTATCATACAATTATAGGATATTATAAGAAACTTGTTACACATACCTTACCATACAATTACAGGATGTTACAAGCATTTGTTACACGTACTTTACCACACAATTACAGGATGTTATAAGAAACTTGTTATACGCACTTTACCATACAATTATAGGATGTTATAAGAAACTTGTTACCCGTACTTTACCACACAATTGTAGGGTGTTACATGAACCATATTACAGTACTTCACTAACAACTATAGGATGCTAAAAGAAACTTGTTACACGTACTTTTCCATACAATTACAGGATGTTATAAGAAACTTGTTACACGTACTTTACCACACAATTGTAGGGTGTTACAGGAAACTTGTTACACGTACTTTACCATATAATTTTAGGATGTTACAAGAAACTTGTAACACGTAGTTTACCATACAACTATAGGAGGTTATAAGAAATGTATTACACGTACTTTACCATACAATTACAGGATGTTACAAGAAAGTTGTTACACGTACTTTTCCATATAATTATAGCATGTTACAAGATACTTGTTACACGTACTTTACCATACAATTATAGGATGTTACAAGAAACTTGTTACACGTACTTTAACATACAAGTATAGGATGTTACAAGAAACTTGTTACACGTACTTCACCAAACAATTATATGATGCTACAATATACTTGTTACAAGTACTATGCCATACAATTATATGATGTTATAAGAACCATGTTACACATACTTTACCATACAATTATAGGATTTTACAAGAAAATTGTTACACGTTATTTACCATACAATTATAGGATGTTATAAAGAACTTGTTACACGTACTTTCCCATACAATTATAGGATGTTATAAGAAACTTGTTACACGTACTTTGCCATACAATTATGGGATGTTATAAGAAAGTTTTTACACGTACTCTACCATACAATGATAGAATGTTACAAAAACT